TGGAAGGTTAAAGAAACCTGATGGGCTGGGAAAAGAAACTCCACGAAAAATCTCATGAGAGAAAGATGGACCAAAACCATCTGTAACAAACAAAGATGTCGACAGAGAGAAGCTCCAGCTCTGAGAGAACAGAGCAACTCTGCTCATGAAGTTTTCTGACTGACTGCAAGATATACAAAAATATACCCCCAAATATAATAAAAAATGATGTATGGACGTACTTGCTGAGGTGCTTCATCTTCAGGTACTCCATGGCAAACATTGCTCCTCCTCCAGGCAGGTCAATCACTTTAATGGGCTGAGGCACTCTCACAATCTTGGTTTTCTGGATCGCTTCCAAACTTGCCATTTCCCCTTCAAACATTTTTCTAGCCTGCCAAGGAATAAGAATATCCCTGGGCTAAACTATGGATGTCTGCAAAGAGTACTTTGGAAAAAAACCAACCTCTTAACAGGCTAAAAAGGAGTTAATTCCTCTTCATAAAAGGACAGAGCTGCAGCAAGGCTTCAGTCCACACAGAGAGACTTGAGTGCCTTAATCCTAACTTCTTTTTTTCATAAATTTATTCCAGGCTAGTAGGATATGTCACATTTCACCCTGATTTCTATCTGCTTATGGAGACACCAAACCACTCGGATGTAACAGCACCTCTGAGGATAATGCCCAAGACCTACCCCTCCAAAACCCCAAGCAGCCACTGCTAAATGAGGTAAAAGATTGAACCCTTACACTGGTTTTCCTTTCCCCAAGGTCAGTGGCCACTGATGGAGATGACAGCACAAACACTCAGACTGTGCTCTGTGTTTTTGAAGAAAAGCTGCTGTTCTTCACAGCAGTTTAGGACGGTTTTGATATTGAAAATGCAAATTTCTGATGCACTGCCGTGTTAGAAAAAGCAATTGAGTGATCATTTAGTAACGGAAAAGTCAAGAGTTTGGCCTGCAGAATTTTACTTCCAGAAACGCAAAAAGCAACGGGGACATCTGAAGCCTCTGTAGCTTTAAAGATAATACGTGAGTTTCAGCACTGGCCCCTGTTTGCTCCCTCCCACTATTGATCCTCTCAAGTGGAACATGAAAAAGAGCACAGTGAATGCAAAGTCAGCTCTGGGCTTTTCCAAACTCCAAGTACCACAATGACAGCTTTGTGCTTGGCCTCCTTTTTGCAGGAATTGCCACGAGGGTGAGGGTTATCACGTCGCATTACCCTGCAATTTACACTAACCAAACCCGCTGCACTAATACTGGGCATAAAACAGACATAGCTTTTAAAAGATCACTGAAAGCTGGAATAATTAGAAGTCAGCCTGAAAGTGCAGAACTCTGAATTATTAACAACAAAAAGCTCTCTACACGCAACCATAGGAGCAGTTCAAGATGTGCTGGCACTGACCTGAGGTTTGTGGTTGATTTTCACGAACACCCGCCCGCTGTCTGTCTCGTAGGTTTGGCCCTGGCTGATACATCCTCCCCCGGAGCTGCCCACAGCCTTCAGAATGTTGGTGTTCAGCTCTGCCTTCAGGATTTTCTCCATGGCCATTCCCAGGCTGCTGCAGCCGCTCTCCCGCTGAACCTGCTGCGAAACGGGATTAAAGGTCTGGGTCCTTCTGTCACCGTCACTCTGAGGCAGGAAGGGCCACCCACCACGGGAAAAAACAAAAGAGCGGCTAAAAAAATCAGTGAATCCAAGCAGAACCTTTCAAAATGCTGTCTTTGCCGTGGGGTTTTACGGCTACGCACGGGTTTACACGCGAAAAGCAAAAAAAAATCTTTAGGAATGTTTGCAAGAATAAAGCGGAGAGGTTTATTCTAGGAGAGGTGGGTCCTGGGGCCTCTCTGCGGTGCCGGAGCTGCTGGTATTTGTAGTTTGGAGCCGCTCTAAAGCTCCGGGATCGCCCGTGGAAGGACCATTTTAGGCCAATCCACTAGAGGGAGGCTGAAGGCAACCCCAGGGATGGCCACGGGCCGGGGGGGGGGGGGGGGGGGGGGGGGGGGGGGGATGTGGCGTGAAATCCAGAGCTGCGCCTCGAAAAGATGCGATTAAACCGCGGGTTCCCCCGGGCGGGGCGAGAGGAGGGCCCGGCGAGAGACACGGCGGGGTCTGTGCCCGCTGTGAGGGAGGCTGTGCCCGCTGTCATGAGGGTCTGTCCCCGGTGTGATGGGGCATCTGTCCCCGCTGTGAGGGGGGAGCTGTGCCCGCTGTGAGGAGGGGCTGTCCCCGGTGCGGGGATGCACGGTCCCTGGTGCAAAGAGGATGTTCCCGCTATGGTGGCGGGGCTGTCCTCGGTGCGAGGGGAGTCTGTCCCCTGTGTGAGGGGGGTCTGTCCCCGGTGTGAGGGGGGTCTGTCCCCGGTGTGAGGGGGGTCTGTCCCCCCTCAGATGGGGGTCTTTGTCCCCCCCGGTGTGAGGGGGGTCTTGGCCCAGCGTGAGGGGGGCTGTGCAGGCAGGGCTGGGAGGCAGCCACTGCTCTGCACCCACCCATGCACAAGCGCCTCTGTGACCCTCTGGACTCTGCAGCATCCAGACCAGAATTCATATAGAGACAGATACAAACTATAATAGCCAGATCATACTAAAAGTGCTTCTCAGGTTCTCAGCGGCTGAATTAGCACACCAGGAATTAGGCCAACAGATGACAGCACCTGCTTCTGCCGATTCCTGCTGGTTCCTGGGGCTCCCTGGCGGTACCGAGGCACGAGAAGGGCTGGACTTTGCTGTACGGGCTCTTCAGAAAGCAGGAAGAATTACCCAGGTGTAAAAACCCCATGCAGGTGATCTCGCGTGCCACGCTGGTTGTGGAGCTTAAGTTTAAGCAAAATGTTTTAATACACACAGAATGTATCGATGAAGGTGATCGGGTTTCTCTTCCTAAGCATTTTATTTTCCTGTTGTCATCAGTGAAGGATCATTAAACAGCAAAGGTGTTCGCTGTGAAACTGCTCTCACTGAAAGACTAGGAAAGGAGATGTTTTTCTCCCTTTTTTCCACTGCCACGTTCATAACATCAGAATATTTGCCCTTTAAGTCCAAGGTTCGTGTTTGTGGTGTGTATTCTCTCACTTAATGGTTTAAAGGGCGACACTGAAGAGCCTCATCCATACCAATGTATTCTGCCTGCAGAACAGGGAGCTGTGAACATTGCAGACTGATTTAAAGCTGAGGTAATGGATCTGAGAAAAGGAGATTTCAGTTACCTTTCCTTCCCATCCCCCTCTTTTCACTCCCCTGATTTTATTTGCCTAGAATATGCTCTAATTTCACTTTTTTTTTTCCCCTTCATGCAAATCTATCATGTGTCACAGTAGAAAGCAAATTATCTTGTCAAATTACCCGTTGCTTTAATTTACTGCCAGTCTGGGACCAGTTAATTCACTGGAAGGCTTGACCTTGACTTATGGTGCTGATTCCTCAGGAAGAACTGGAGGGAGGGAGGGGAGTTCACTGTACCATTGCATATACCAGCAAATATACAGCACATACCCAGCAAGGTTTTGTCCCATTACTTTATGTAATCAATTTGATAAAGGTTTAGGTGTGTTACTTTATACTTTGGGGAATTAATTTGTGGGCTAAATACTTACTTTTCCGTAAAAAACATATTAATTACAATTTAAACCACTCTACAAGAAAGTTCCAGGGGAAAAATGCCCAAGACAGTGTGCTAAAAGGAACATGATTTGAAGAACACTATTAAAAAACTAAATAAATGAATGTTTCTGGAAAAACAAATCCTTTCTTTGGAATAACTCACGCCAAAATCTTCCATCCTCCTCCTCGGGAACAACAATCATTTGGGGCAGCTTCATCCCAGTTTCCTGTTGGTGTCTTCACTGCTGAGATGCCACCAAGTTTCGTGTCTGTGATGTTCCTCCTGGACCACAGATCTGTGAGTGTGGGAAGTCCAGTCAGTAAAATGCCAAAGTGATGAGCAATTAATGCATCAGCACGTAGGGAGAAGCGCCATCAGGACAAGTGTGCTCCCAGTTACAGCCTGAACGGCAAAGCAGAGTGCAGCGGGAAGGAATTCCTGCGGGATCAACCTCTGGATGATGAGCAGGCTCCACCTGCTGGGCCGCCCGTGCTGGAATATTGAAGCTGCATCTCCACACTTTAGGAACGTGCCCAGAGCAGCTCCCAGGGGTTATCCCTGAGTCGGGGACATCCGCACTGTGGGAGCACTTTGGGTGTTTGCCTGGTGCCCGGGAGCACGATGGAGTCCTGCCCCTCGCACGCTGCTACTCGAGTTCATTCCTTCCAAATTATCCCCTTGGCCTCCTCAGTCACCAGTCAGTGGTTTGGGCCCTCTCTGTGTGTGATGTGCAGGAAGAATGCCTGGCTGGAGGGAGCATTATGGATAGGGTAAAGCCAGGATCAAGATGAGGTCTAAAGGCTGGAGCAGCACCGCTCACTGCTGGTAACTCCTGCAGCAATCCCACATGGGAATCCCCTAGGAAAGCCTGGGGCTGCAGCTGGACAGGGGGACATTTAAAAAAAGCAGAGGGGCTTGTTTCATAACTCGGCTTGGAAGGGTCCTCCCCAGGCTGCCGGGTCCATTGTCTTGCTTAGAGTAAAACTCCTCCTGAACTCCACCTGGGGTGCTCAGGGCCTCGGGTGCTGAGAACTTCCACGTTTCCGAGGCGTATTTGTGGCACTGAATGGTTGGGTCTGGGTTTTGGTTTGGTTTGGTCTGAGGTTTTGTCAAGTCAGGGCATCCCCTATTTCAGCGCGGTCCTACTGCCGTTCTTCTGCTTTCGCTCGTCTGATGGGAGAGCCGTCTGATGGGAGAGCTTTCTACCAAACACTCCTCCGGAGCTGGGAGGGGCCCGGGGGCTGCTCTGGGCCACCCATCCTCCCCTCTGACTCAGTGACTCCGGTCAATCCCGGTCAGTCCCGGTCCAGCCCCGCCGCCATTCCCGCGCCGCTCGACTGCTCTGCGCTCCTCCGCGGGCGGGTGGATGCGCTCCGCGCTCGGCAGCGCCGCCTGCCGGGGCCGGAAGCAGCGGCCGGTCTGAGGCTGGGCCCGGCTCAGGCGGGCTCGGCTGGACTCGGCTCGGCTCGGCCGGACTCGGCTCGGCTCGGCTGGACTCGGCCAGACTCGGCTCGGCCCAGCTCGGCCCGGCCCGGCTCGGGCGGGTCCGCGGCGCCAACATGGTGTGAGGGGCGGCGGGCGAGGGCGGAGGGGCCGAGCCGGAGCCATGAACCTGCTCCCGGCCAACCCGCACGGCAACGGGCTGCTGTACGCCGGCTTCAACCAGGACCACGGTGAGGCGGGGCCGGGCCGGGGATGCGGGGACCACCCGGGGCCGGGCTGGGGCCGCTCCCGGCAGCGGGCGGGGACCGGGACTCGTCTGTGCTGGATCTCCCTCGCTCCCGGGGCTGCGGCGGGAGCGGCCGAAGGAGCCGGGGAGGCCCGAGGATGGAAGGCTTGTCCGGTTGTTTTGGCTGTGGCGCGGCCCTGTGAGCGCCCAGGGATGGAGGGGTGGATGGGGGAGAGCACACGGACAGGGTTGCTGGGGCTGGGTGTGCTCGGCTGCCGCCCGAGCGTGGCCGTGTCAGAGCCTGAGCTCGGGGGTTGTTCGGGACCCGCATCGCTGGAAGGTAACTCAGAATGGCCTTTCCTCTGTGTCAGTGCTTGACATTCAAAGCCAGGGGTGTCACCGCTTTTTCCTTTCTTTTTTGCCTGCTTTGCATCTTAAAAGTCGTGGTTAACGCTGCTGATCACCCTCAGGCAAGCACAGATGCGTGTCCTGCTGCAAATCCCCACGGCATCCCCGGCTCATCTTTTCCCAGTGTCGGGAAGGGAAGGCCTGCTCCAGAAACGGGGGGGGCAGGTGCCTCATCTTTGCTTTTGCAAGACACGAATAGCACCAGGGTACGTGTCATTTTGGTGGAATAAGGAAAAGAAGCTCATCATTTTGTAACATCCTTTTGCCTTAACAAACATTGCTCTTGCCCAAGACAGTCTTGAAGCTTCTGTCACAGACTGCAGCTCTTGGACTTGTTGCTGACACTGTTGAAGTCATGTGTAAACACGATTTACTGTGTTGATTTTAGTCCAACACCTCTGGTCACATCTTGGCAGGAGCACATCAAGCTGGTGATGAGGTGTGTCTTTGCACTCTCTAAATGCTCCTCCACTGACTTGAAAAGAACAGAACAGTGTGATTTGCAGCAGCTCTGCTCTTGCCTTTGCAACAGAGGTGGAAAAAGGTTTCTGAGGATGAGCTGAATTTCAAATCTGCAGGGTCTGTAACAGAGTGGTGACATTTGGTGCTTGAGATGTGAAGGAACCGGGTTATACAGAGAGCTGTGTAAGAAGAAAATGCCTTTAGATCGTTGTTTTAGTGTAAAACTTGATTGCTGCAAAGTCTTCCATAAAATTTGTAGCACTAAATGCAAAATAATCCCTTTTTTTTTTTTTTTTTTTCTGAATAGTCACATCCAAAGTACTATGAGGAATTTGTCTTGGGAATCTGAGAGCTGGCAGTGTTCATATCCCACCCAACCTCCCCTGGCCAGGCTATTGAGTGACGACAAAAAACTTGAATTAAAAACACATTTAGCTTCCACTTGGCAGCTCCTGGGGCTGTTCCTGGTAGGAATGAGGACGTTGGCACTGCAGGTGTCACACTGACACTTTATTAGTTTAGGGCAGGTGATGTTTGGAGAGCAGGGAGGAGGGAAAGCTCCTGCTCCTCCTTTTCCTTGCCGGGAATAGAACATGAGTCACTGGAGTGCTGGGGCTCGCTCTGTGGGTGTCTCATGGATTGTCACAATAGCCTAATTCCTTAACAATTTAACACTGGCCAATCCCACAAGGATGGGAGAGCAGGAGGAACCATCTGAGAAGTCTCTCAGGGGCTGGATCTCCCTGACAGAGCAGTGAGAAGGTTGCTCTGCCATGAGCCTCCCTCCCTCTGCTGGAGTGATGCCCTTTTGCCATGGGGTGCCTTTGCCACCGTGGGGTTTTCAGTTGGAAACCAAAGAAAGTGTAACACAAGAAAGTGGAAATGGTCAGTTGTGTGAACACTCAGCCCTTGTGCTCCTGATTCCAGGCCCTTTTCCAATGCTTTCAGAGGACTAAAGTGCTTCTCAGAAATGACCATCCCAGACAGTGCTCCTGTAACATTTCTCTCTTGTCACTGTGGCAGCTGAAAGCTGGTTTGAAAACTGAAGTGTGGGTTTGTTCTGGTGTTGAAACACGTGGCTGATGCATTTGGTCCCCTCCAGTGGGCTGGGATGCTGCTTTGTAGGACCCCCCAGTGTTGGGAGGGCCCTGCGCTCTCTCCTGTGGCTTTGGACAACATTTGCTGTGCCAAGGAAAACCACCATGGCAGGAGCTGTGCCAGCTGTCCCTGCTTCCCTGGGCTTCACCGCTGCACCTCAGGCCCTGAATCCTGAGGGCTTGTCTGGGCCAAGGTACTGCCTTCAGCTTGTGGCATCTTCCAGGCTGGGCATTAATTTAACTCTCTGAGGAAGTGTTCCCTCCTCTCACACAGAAGGGCTCACAAGCTGCAGCTGTTAAATTTGTGATCCCTCTGGTAACACTGAGCTCAGCTGGGGATCCCTGAGCTCCAGAGCTGCTCCTGTAACCTGGGATTGAAGGAGGAGCAGGGATCTTCCTGAGTGTTTTTCTCTCCTGTTTGACTCAAGGGTTTCCGTGCCGGGGAGCTCCACATCCCTGTGGGTAGGGATGGAATCACATCCCCACCTTCTGCTGGGTTGTCTCCTGGTAAAAATGGAGATATTCCCAAGGCACTCAAGCAGCCCACGCCTTAGTCATGAGCTTGGCTTGCAGAAGCTGTCGTGGTGCTACAGGAGGGTAAAGTCTGGGTTTGATTGCTCTGGTAACACTCCCTTTGGGTGGTTGGGAGCTGCTGGGATCAGCACAGCTCAAACCTCACAGTGCTCTCTTACCACAGAGCAGCTTCAGCACCCTGCCCTTATCCTGGAAATTCAGCGTGGGGTTCGAAAACTGCTGCTGGAAAATGATTCTGTGGCTCTGCTGCCACGAACAGCTCCTGGGCAGCTTTTTATGCAGAGGGAAAGGTTTCCAGTGCCGGTGGCTCCCGGGTTATCCCAGTGACGCCCTGCCCGGGGCAGCAGCTTGTTGAGCTGGGAGGGCACGAGGTGCAGTGAGCAGGGGTCAGGGAAAAGCCTATTTCAATCTGGTTGTTAATCTTGCTATAGTTATTATAGTCTCATTAGCCACTCTGTGTGTGTGTTTATGCATGTAAAGAACTTTAACCACTTAATTTATTACAACCTCTTGGACAGGGTGAAGCTGTACCTGGGAGTCTTTAGGGTTGAGGGAGTAGGTCTTTCTGTATTTTGTTTTCTTCCCCCCTCCACGCTCTGGGATTTTGGGGGTATCAGGTTTGGGGGAAGGGGTGTGTTTAGACAGAGCTCCTCAGTTTTTATTTGGGAGGTTCAAATTGTTGCAGTGCATAAGAACAGACCCAGAGTAATTGGAACATCTGTTCCCGTACCTCAGAGATCTTTAACTGGATTTTTAATACATGGCACACAAATCATGTAGCAACCAACGTGCTGTCAGGCTGCTGCCAGTGACAGCAGCTGCTCCTTAGTGACTTGTCATTGCTCTGACTTCACACTGGCATTTCCTTGTACCTGCATTCCCTTAGCAGGGGAAGGGCAGGACAGGGGACTGGTACTGTGATGGCATCCACTGAAGAGGCACGTGCATAATTTTGTATGGAAAATTTCCAGAAATTATTTTCCACAGTGTTTTAATCTGGGAGTGTTTTAGTCAGAGTGTTCTACTCATGTCCTAGGTTGGACTTCAGCTATTGGCATATCATTATTGGCATTAGCAGAGTCTGAAAAGCTGTTTGAGGAGCTCTGGAAGCATCCACAGCAGAGTCATAACTGCAGGGTGAATTGAGATCTGTTGAGAAAGGAGGGGGTTTCCTTCACAATGATGTTGGGCCATAAACATTAAAGTGCTGTTTTCCTTCCCTCTGTAACACATGGCATAGCATACAGGTGGGTTGGGAATGGGTTTCCTTTCCTTCCATTGTTTTCCTTACCTGTCTGAAAACAATACCAAGACCTTTGTGCCAGGCCAGAGAACAATTCCTCTGAAGGGCTTTCACTTGCCATCCCTAACAGAGAGCCTGGGAGTGCTCTTCAGCTTGAGTGTAACAATGCAGTTGTCAGCAATGCTCTCCTAACCCTCTGGCTCTTGCTGCCTTCTCGAGTGTATCTGGCAATTACTATATGTATGTGTATATATATATGTGCTTTTTACCACAGGATGCTTTGCATGTGGAATGGAAAATGGATTCCGAGTTTATAATGCAGATCCCCTCAAAGAAAAAGAGAAACAAGGTAAAGCACTTACTTACCCCACCGTGCTGCTCTGTGTTGGAAGCTCAGCCTCCTCCTTTATTTTGCTCAGCTTTCACTGCTCCAGCCCTGGAAGGTTTTGGATAAAGCCCCAGGAAGGGCTTTCACTCGTGCCACTGCTCAGTCAGATGTCTCAGTGCTGTAATTTGCACAAGTGGCTGATGAGGGATTTGTCTCACCTGTAACAGAGTTGAGTTGGCTCTTGCTGATGTTTGCAGCCCTGAGTAGGAGAGGAGCTGGTTACCCATGAGCAGGAGTCACTCCCTGCAGCAGTCATGCACCATCAGAAGTTGCTCCTTTCTCCTGTGGTGATCTGGATGATCCAGTGTGGCAGGAAAACTCCAGCCCTTTTCCTGGAGATCTGAGCATTTCTTATGCCCAAAGTATTGTCTGCAAGAGCACTGAGAGCTCAGACCTCTAATACTCCACATCCTGCCTAAAAAATTTGGGAGGATCTTAATGCAGTAAAGCTTCTGCCTCCTGTTTTAACAGAAATCAGTAGATAAGCCGTATTAACAGTGGGGCTTTTTTATCAGAAAGCAAACAAACCCAAGTCAAAATAGGGGAAACTGAAACCCAGCCATGTGATTCTAACCCTAAATATAGCAAGTGAGCTGCTAAACAGGTTTCAGGCACTTCCAGCCTGTGGTGATAAAAGGGATTTAATAAGAGGAAAAAATATACTTAAACTAGCAATTCCTATGAAACCAGGCACACTTTTACTTTCTACTGCTGTAAAGGATTTTAGTCACTGTTCACGTGGCCAAAACTATTTTCTGCTCTTACCAGTAAATTCTGCCATAGGCACCATGCCTGGGGACTGTCACCTGTGACAGTGTGCTCAAAGGATCAGGACTCAGCCTGAAGTCCTGTGGAGTTCCTTGTCAAAACTCTCCCTGCCAGCAGCTCAGGATGGAGATAATTCCAGGACTCCCGTGGTGCAAAGTTTCCTATGAGTCAGATTGCCTTTTCCCGGTGGATTCTGAGCACTGACACAGTGTAGGTACACAGGGAGATCCTGTTCATCATTCCTGTGGATTTAAACCTGCCTGAGACAGTCCCAGCTGGAGTTGTCTGTTTGATTGTTCTCTGTGACCCAGCATGAAACCAAGTCTTATCTTTTGCAAACTCTTCCACCCAGCAGTTCCATGGTGCTCCCGTCCCAGCATTGCCCCTCAGAACTGTGCAGATAATCATTCAGTGCTCTGACACACATTACACGCTCTTAAATTGTCCCAGGTTACCACTTGTAAATATTTTAAGCCTTTTTGTCACTATGAGAATCCCTTCTCACAGAAAAACGTGGAATTTACCTCCTCTGGTTTTTAAGGGCAGCCAGGGTAGGAAGATGCTGTTCTCAGGGGCCTGGGAGATGTGCTGGATAATACGAGCTTTTCTTGTAACAGTGGTAAAAACTCGATGGCATTTTAACAGGTTCTGACACTTCTAAATAAAATGTTTGTCTTCCAGAGTTTGTAGAAGGTGGTGTTGGCCACGTGGAGATGTTGTTTCGTTGCAACTATTTAGCACTGGTGGGTGGAGGAAAGAAGCCCAAGTACCCACCCAACAAAGGTGAGCTCTGGGGAGGGACCCTGCAAACATCCGCCTTGGCCTGTGTGACTGCCCAGGGCTGGAATTGGCTGTCCTGGAGGGTGAAGGGGCTGTTGCAGCAGGTTTAGGTCACTGTGGTGCAGGGAGTTGCATCATTGCTGTGGCAGCAGGAACAGGCTGGTACCTGCAGGGACAGGTCTGAGAGACCCACTGACCTTCTCGTGGTGAGCTTTGCAAGGAGACTCTGTCCCAGCAGCCTGAGGGGGAACCTCCCTGGCTGGAATAGGAAAATATGCTACTTTTTTCCAACTACTGCATTATTTCTTTGATAATCCTCAGAGCAAACAAACAAACAAAAAAAAGCTGCTTTTCTTTAGAAAGTTGTATTTTTGTCATTTTTTGTGGTTGGAGTTTGCAGCTCCTGCCCTGCACGGGGGGGTTGATACGTGGTGGCTCAAGACCTTCAGGTTTGCAGGGTGTCCATCTCGGTCAGCCTTCTGGGGAGCTGGAAGTTGTTATCAGGGAGACAGTGTGGATCCTGATGGTCTGACACAACCTCTGCCCTGTTCCAGTCATGATCTGGGATGACCTGAAGAAGAAGACTGTCATTGAGATCGAGTTTTCTACAGAGGTCAAAGCAGTGAAGCTGCGAAGGGACAGGTGGGTGAAAACAGAAGGCTCCAAAAGCCGAGTGTGGCTTTGTGCTCTTGTTTCCAGCTGCTTGTAGAAGGGAAAAGATCCTGCTGTAGCCCCAGCAGTGACAGGTAAAACAACAGGCTTTTGGGGGCACGTGTTGGGTGTAAACAGATCACAGGTCGAGTATTCTGGGATGCGAAACCTTGGTGAAAAGCCTGGGAGACTTCCCAGCCCCCTAATGCAGGGAAATGTTCTCCTGTGGCTCCTGCTGGCTGCTTTTCTGGGTCTGGAGGAGTGTGAAGGGAATTCCAGCGGATCCCTGGAGCAGCAGCAGCTGTGAACAGCTGGAGCCTGCGTGTGCGTGGGCGGAGGGGCTGGATGAAAGTGCTTTGCAGGCTTATCCTTGTGTGGTTTTTGCAAGGCTGGGAGTCTGTTGCGGGGGAGGGCAGGAAGAACATGGCTGTTAAATCACTTGAAAGCCTTTGCAGGTCTGAATGAATGTCTGTGTCCCTGTTTTACCCACCCCAAGTCCCAGGAACTTCTGCTCTGTTTCAGAATCGTGGTCGTCTTGGACTCGATGATTAAAGTGTTCACGTTCACACACAATCCCCACCAGCTGCACGTCTTTGAAACCTGCTACAACCCTAAAGGTTGGTTTTACACGTGGGCTGGGGAGTTAAAAACAAGGTTATTCCGTTCTTGACGTGCCATTTATCTTCAGCTGCCTCACTCAGTTCTTCAGGAGTCACTCAACACTTACTGCACTGCAGTTTTGCCCTTTGGAGATGCTTTTGTTTATACAGTGGTTATTAGAATTCATAAAGACTTGGCCCAGCAAAGCTGTGTCCTGCACTCATGTTATAGATGGGATTTCTGTAAGAGCTGCTCACTTCCTTCTGTAAAGAACATGGGAAGTGGATGTCTTATGTGCTGAAAGCTTCATTATAAACACAAATAGTGCAGTGCATCATTGCAAACACTGTGGCAGTGCCACACAGTGGAACAGGGGCTGCTGGCCATGCTCCATAGATGGGGGGGATCAGTTTGGATGTCAGGGAGGTTTCTTCTCCACCAGGAGGTTATTTGGGATTGGAGTCCCCATGTTTGGGACTCTGGAGCAAACATGGAATGCAGCTCCAGCCCCCTGACTGACTGACAGGCAGGGGATGCAGGGGAAGGAGGTTGTTTCTTGTGCTGAGTCTGCAGGAATTCATTTGGCATCAGCAGGACATGTGGGATTGGTGTGATTTACCTTAAATGGGCCACAAAATGTTACACAGGAAAAAGTGCCAGTAACTTGCTGTAAGAACCAAGTTCAAACAGGAATTATTAGTAATCATCAGGATGGAGCTGAAGCTCAGATATCACCTCTGATAAACTCTTACCCTTTCTGAACCACTAAGGAGACTTCATAACTTCTTCTTTAAATGGCTTTGCTGTGATGGGCTGATGGAGCTGAGCTCTGAAAACACCCAGATGCTGGATAACCACAACTACATAACTTGGACATAAAGTGATAGGAGCAAGTGAAAATTATGCTACTCCCCTGCTTCTCTGTGCTCTATATTCATGGATGAAACATGTTTTGGGATACTGCCCAAGCATTAAAATGAGATTCTGACTTGCTCCATGTCTGTTGGCTTATTCTGAAATTACTGGTATTTTAGAAACTTACATTTGAAAACATTGGTTTATGGCAATGATCCAGTTATTCTCTTTTTTTTTTTCTTCTTCTTTTTTTTTTTTTTTTGGTGTCTTTCAGGTCTCTGTGTCCTTTGTCCAAATAGTAATAACTCTCTTCTTGCATTTCCTGGGACACACACTGGGCACGTGCAGATCGTGGATCTGGCCAACACGGAGAAGCCTCCCGTGGACATCCCGGCCCACGAAGGAGTCTTGAGCTGTATTGCTTTAAACCTGCAGGGAACAAGAATTGCAACAGCATCAGAAAAAGTAAGAGTGATGTCCCTGCCTCTGACCTACCCAGTGTTCCAGAGTCACAAACAGGAAGTCACATCCTTTGTAGGAAAGGCAGAGAAATACCTAGGGGGGAAATTTGTCACTGGAACGTGCATTCCCTTTATCTTCACTGCTCCTCTGGGATCCCCAGACACCAACAGCCAGGGGCTGTGCCTGAGGTAGTGCTTATGCTTTAGCTGACTGAAGCAGTGACTTCAGTGAGGGAAGCCTGGCCCAAGCAGCTCACAGCTTTCATGTGCTCTTCGACAGACACTGTAATTTTTTCAGAAAGCAGGGGGGGGAATCTTATTTGTGTTCTTTCACCTTTATTATTTTCTGCTTAAACTCACCCCAAACCCATTGGCTAAAGAAGTGCTTGTTGACAGCTCTGTCCTGCCAGAGGGCTTTGTTCTGCCAGGCCTTAGCCCCTGTTGTAGTCCTGGAAACAGCTTAAAAAAAGAAAATGCAGCCACAGACTCTCCTAACTAAGCTTAATGGCTACATGTCTTTTAAACAGAGTTCTTAAAGCTGCCAACTCCGTTGCTAAATAGAATCATTATCTGCTGCATTTGTATCAAGATGTTCCTTGTTTTGTATAGAGAAAAAGTTCAAACAGCTTTTATTTTCCAGCCAAACTAGGGAGTGTGAGCACAGTCAGCAAACATCCCCAGCCTGTCTCTTAAACCAACACTAAGCTGAGTTTACCAAATCTTTCTCTGCTGGGTTCTGTTACCTCCTGGTGTGTGACTGGAGAGCTGCATCTGCTAACCAGGCGTGTAACAGGCCTGCGGGTGATGATGGACAGCCTGGGCGTTAATCCTAAGACAAGTCAGCCACAGCCTGATCACACTTAGTGGGAAAGATCTGCACAGTAGCCCTGAACATGGCAGTGCTGACTGAGGGAGCACAAGTGACTGCCAGGGCCTGGGCACACTCCAGGATCTGCCAGGCAGGGCCAGGGCTGGGATGGGCCTTTAGAACAGAGCGAAGAGAAACCTGTGAGGAGCCAAGTGACAAGATTGTGCACCACAGCATTGTAACACTGTGGTGCTGCTGTGGGGGCAATCAGTGTTCCTTCCCAAAATTAAAACAGGTTCTCAAATCTAGCAAGAAGGAAACCCCCAGAGGTGTGTGCAGGGACGTACTGGTCAGGCAGACAGAATTCAGGCTGTATTCACAGATGCAAAGAGAATCTTCTGCCTTTCCTAATACAGTGCTTGATTCCTTTTCAAGGGGACCCTCATAAGGATATTTGATACTTCATCAGGGCATTTAATCCAGGAGCTACGTCGAGGATCACAGGCAGCCAATATATACTGGTATGTTCAGGTGCTGTGCTGAGCTCTGATTGCTGCCTGGGCACACAGAGCACTCACAGGGCCAGGGCTGCTCTGGGCTGGCTGCTGGGGAGGGGAGGGAGCTGTGTGGAGCCTGGCACAGGGGCTGGGAAGGAACCCTGGGTGGTGCCAGGCTGTGCCTCTGCCCAGCACAGGGGGGAGCTGGGGGTGCTGAACTTACACTGACACACCGGGAGGGCCCTGATGCTCCTGAACACTGCACAGGGACAGGAGAGCCTGCTGGGAGGGGAGTGCCCAGGACAGGAGTGACTCTCCCAGGAGCAGGGAAACTCCCACTCCTGTACCAAGCCCCAGCTGCGGTGGGAGTGTAACGTTTGCCCACTCCTTGGAGCAGAGCTCCTTTTCTTCCAGAGGTGTCAGAGTGGCCCCCACCCATGGAGTCCATGTCAGGGGGTGCTGCTGCTGCTCCTGACACTCCAGGCCCTCTTCTGAGTGCAGGCTGTTCATCCCAAGGCAGTCCTGGATTGGGGGAACTCCAGCTCCTACAGAGAGGAGCTGTTCCCACCCCAGACCAGGCTGGCAGCTGCTGAGGGCAACTGCAGCAGCAGAACTGTGTGCCAGGGGCTGTGGGTCTGTCCCAGGGGGATCCTGCAGCTGTCTGTGTTCTCTGCAGTATTAACTTCAATCAGGATGCTTCCCTCATCTGCGTCTCCAGTGACCACGGCACAGTCCACATCTTTGCTGCAGAAGACCCTAAAAGAAATAAGCAGTCAAGGTATGGATTGAGCCTTTCTGAAGCCCGGGGGGGGCCTTGAGCTTTTTAATGGCATTTAAAACACTGGCTGTGTCACTCAGTAGCAAATCCCTGCTCTGCTGGAGGCAGCAAGATCGATCTGCTGGGCTGGAGTGAAGCTGCAGATTTAGAACTGGGTGGTTAAAGTGACGAGTTCCTGCTGTCCCTTGTGGGGCTGTAGCATTCCAGTAGAGGATCAGGGTGGGTTTAGTGGATCTCAGCATGAACATACCTCATGGACACATCCCTCTACTCAAAATCAATCCCTTGGCAGTTTTTCCAGTCACTTATAAAGGTAGTTGTAGGCTCCCCCTTGCCAAGAAGGGGAATTGTCCAGGTTAGCTGATACTTCGTAAAAGATCATAAAAAGCCAGTCAGAAATAGTGTGAGCCCTTTCTCTTGTTCAGTCACTCCAGCAGTTCTGAATCCACTCTACTCAACACCTTACTAAGCTCTTCTTTTTTTTTTTTTTCTCTCTCTTTCAGTTTGGCCTCTGCCACCTTTCTCCCCAAATACTTCAGTTCCAAATGGAGTTTTTCCAAATTCCAGGTTCCCTCAGGCTCTCCGTGCATTTGTGCCTTTGGAACAGAGCCAAACGCTGTCATAGGTGAGAGCTGGAGGAGTGCCCAGGGTGTGATGGAGAGCCAGGGTGTGGGAGCTGGAGGGAACCCTCTGCTGGGACAGGGCTGCGTGTCCCTGTCAGCTCTGGCTGTCCCACTGCCCAGGGAGGGGGCAAAGGCTGGCACAGCCTGTGCTGACCAGGGCTGGGGGCCCTGGGGTCCCTCCCCAGCAGCTCTGGGTGCTCTGTGAGCCTGAAGGGAGGGTTGTGCTGTGGCTGAAGGGCAGGAAGGCCCAGCCCAGCTGACTCTGCTCGTTTGTGTTGCAGCGATATGTGCGGATGGCAGCTACTACAAGTTCTTGTTCAACCAAAAAGGGGAATGCTCAAGGGATGTGTACGCTCAGTTCCTAGAAATGACAGATGAGAAGCTTTGACTGGTGGAGGGGAGTGCACGAGTCCCAGCCCTGCCTCGGCCACTCCACACCTGAGGGACAGTTCTGAACGTCCAGTACCGATGCAGAAGTTCAGCAGAGCTCACAGAGAAGCCTGGCCCAACATGATCACAAGCAGCTCTGAAGTAGTGGACTACATATGTTTGTTCTCATTTCTGCAAGTATTCATCATTAAAATCTCTTTGGGTTACTGTCACCAACTCAAGTTTTCAAGATGTGGCTTTCAACAAGCTTGTGCCTGCTGGGTTTCTCTCACTCCAGACTGTGACATGACCTGGCTCCAGCACCGTGCCTGCCCCCGGGGCAGCTCTGCAGGGCTGCCCACCCCAGGGCTGGGGAGAAGGGATGTGAAACCACAAGAGTTCAGCGTTGCTTTTCTTCCACTGCACGGCTGGCAGGGGGGAAGGCTCTGGGTGATGCTCCCTCTGCCAGCCTGGCCAGCAGCAGAGGTGACAGGGGACACCTGCAGCTCGAGCTCTGCTTGTCCCCTGCCTGTGCAGGGGGCTGGGTGGGGGCAGTGGGGGGGCCCAGCCTGTGCAGGGGAGGGATCAGCACGAACTGCCCAAGGTGCCAAACACCAGAGCAGGGGAGGAACCTCTAGGCAGGGGCTGAGCTGACCCCCTGGGTGAGCACAGCAAACACCCAGGGCCCCTGAGCTGTGGAGGTGATTCCTCCTGTCCCCAGGCAGCTGCTCCAGCTGTAAATCCCCCTGGGTGCTGCTGTGCCAGCTGTGCTGCCAAACTGCTGCCAGACCCTGGGGCTGGCACAGGCTCTGTCCATGTCCAGCCCAGGACTGAAGGAGCTGGCAGGAATCCACATCAGCAACGGCTTTAAAACCTCCAAACCTGTCTTGTTTTTCTTTGAGCTGTCGCATCCTAAAGCTGCTGGCCCAGGACAGGTAGGTTAGACTGAACCCACTCACCTGTGCGCTCTTCCCCAACAACTGTTACCCTATTTCCTGCTGACCTAAGGCACAAGCTCTTAACCCAGAACCCAAGATTAGCCCCAAGCTTGGCCTCTGTGGCACTAAACCCTGGGGCAGGGAGGTCCTGCTCTTCTGGACTCTTTAATTTCACAGATGCTTCAGCCCTGACACGCCAGTTCACTCCCACCTTGTTTAGCTGCAAACTCTGACAAGTCCCTTTTAGTGTCACGTAACCTACTAAGGACTAACTTACCATGTTGATGTCAAGGTTGCATGTTGCTTTTATGTGTATTTAACCACAGGAATTGTTTTGCACACTTATTTGTAATATGTTATTTCTTTTAAATAAAAGTGACTAACTTTGCTGTATTCACTGATGGTCACAGCCCAAGCTTCCATTGCTCCAGGTTTGGGGAATAAACACCTACACGAGTCAGGAGTGGTGGCTGGTGAAGGACAGGAGCTGAACCCGCTGTGTGAAGAGGGGACAGGAACAGATGGGGCACAGACCTTGGTGTTTATCCCAAAATAAGTCCAAACCAGTTCCTGCTCAGCACTTACCACTCCCCACAGCTCCTGGGCTGAGGCTCCTCACCTGGTAACAGCTCTATCAGCAGGACTGAGTGGAACTGTCATCTTCCCAGAGAAGGATGCAGGGCAAGAGCTGGAGACCACTGTCCAAGCGTGATGGAAATCCCCTCTCACCAGAGCAGGCAGGAGCTGCTCAGGATCCCACCAGTGGGACTCGCTTTGAAGAGCAAGGAGAGTCCTGAACTCCACCACCCTGTGCTGCTCTGCACATCCTCCCCTCTGGAGCACCATCCCCCTGCCCTCCCATCCCAGTTATCCTGGAGCTGACAGGAATCTATGAGCTGTTTGGTGGGAGATTTAAACTCTGCTGAACTTGTAACACTTCCTCCAAACATCTGCTCCAGCGTGGCAGCAGGATGAGACCACCACACCTGCGTGGGCAGCCAGCAGTGCTGCACTGACCGTGGGATCCACTAATACCAAACGGACCTGACCTCCAACTCCTCCTCCTGGTACTGCCTGCAGATCTGCACCGTTCAGCACACAGGCTGTCCTGCAGGGATCCAAATCCACCAAAGGAATGAGTGTTCCCACCTGGCTTTGGCTCCAGGTTGCTCTGCCAGGACTTCATCCCATCGCTCGCAGCTGCCCCGCGTTCCGTGGGTGAATTTACCCAGCATTTGCACAGCTCTACAATCAAATGAACAGTGTTTAGTCAGTCATTTTTCTGGAAAATAAACAGCACTTTCAGGATTACAGCCCACTGATTGATGGATTGAGTGACTGATGGCACACACGGCCACGGTGCTGCAGGCTGGGATCACCCCCAGCCACGAGGACATGGCAGGATTTGCACAGTAAGTCTAAAACACGACTGTTCCTGAAACAAAGTATTCCCACCAGCATCTGCTGTCTAAGTACATGGATTATCCATTTCTTTTCCTTCTCTCCCCGTTTTCCTCCTGCAGCACCTGTGTCACAGTTCAAAATCCTGACAGAACTGAACAATGAGCCACTGCAATAAGTTCTGTGGCAATTCCAAGTGTTTGCCAGCACAAAGCACGGAACACGAAGATTTCTCTCAGAACCTTTGGGTATCCACACTGAAGTGACAAATACAAGATCAACCAGTACAGCTGGCAAACATGAGACACGAGCAGTTCCTGCAGACGGGGCCACCCCACACCTCGGAATGCCGGGCTGGCTCCCCATGGCTCCCCTGCCTCGTGGCACAGTAACAATTACACCATTTCACTGCCTCCACATTAGGCATTTTATTTTTTTTCTCCTTCCCAAGCCTCTGTTTGTTTGAACAAGCCAATGACTCTGGTCTGGTCAGCAGGAGATCAGGGGGAATTTCCCCCACAGCCCGCTCAGACCGTTCTGTTCCAGGAGCAGGTTCTGCTCTTTGTGCCCCGAACGCCCCAGCCCTTCCCAGCAGTTCCACAGCCCTCCGATGGCTTCTCCCCAACTCCTGGAAGCACTGACATGAAAACCTGACCAGCAGAGCTTTCCTGGTTGGTGGTCAAAAGCATTTCCCCAGCTCTGATGAGAAACAAAGGGAATGTAACAATTCTACGTGCACCAACCTGTGAACCCCCGGCAGGGCCAGTCCCAGCCCCATCCATGCCCGTGGCTCCTGGGACGGTGTCAGGAAGGGACACCTTGGCTTGTTGGGTCTGACACTGTCCTGTGGCACTGCCAGCAGAAACTGCATCAGTCACCCCAAAATATACATCAGTATTTCAAACACACTTGTTGAGGAATTTCAACTTAGTTAATTTGCTGAATAAAATTTAATTTTATTTAAAAAATCTTATACACTATTATTCACCTAGCCCTAGTTGTGAACAGATTCTCACTTCTGAAAATAAACCACATTCTAGTCAATTCATTCAACACCAAATTAAATTACTAGTACTGGATTTTTTTTTTCTTAAAAAAAGTATGTTAAAACTTTACTTTTTTTTTTTATTTTATTTTTAAAACCTCTAAAGAAAACGTTGCAATTGTACAGAAATGCTTCTTTTCAGGTTATGCTTTCTTTTTTTTTTTTTTTTTAAATGCCTGTTATAAATCCAGCTTGTGTAGAGTTTTTTTTTTTCATAGTTTTTTAATATGTATTATCTGCAGAGACATTGTAACAGTTCCATTGTGTGGATGAACACAAAACTTGTACAGATTTCTCATATTTGGTCTTTAGGTAAATAGTTTCCAAAAGCTGCCTAAAATAACCACTCCAAACTGTTCAGTCCATCGTGAAAATACAGTTTTTTTTCCTTTCACGGCGGGAAAGGAAATATAAATAATGCATCTTTATTACAGAACAGGACAAAAAACCAGATTCCCACGAAGCCAACGCTTCCACTCACCTGGCTGCAGGAGGAACTAAGACGTCATGTGAGTTGAAGACTGAACAGCAGCCTCGTTTCAATTGATTTTTGAAATGTAAAAGTGGAATCTATTACCACATTAAAGTGAGAAATTACCGATACATTTTAAAATGTTCAACTGCAGAACACACACTTAAAAAAAAAAAAAAATAATAATTATAATAATTATTACCATAATCTGGTAGCCACTGTTAGAAAACCACAACAGCTACTGGTCATGGAGACCCCGCAGGTCAGTGTCTGACATCGAAGTGTTACGGAGAAATGGGGCAGATTAATTTCTACTCAAGGGTGCTTAAGCTTAAAAATATCGAATATACCTCTGACAAGATAATTTTTACTCTTTTTAAAAGGACTCGTGATAAAGAATTTCCTCTTTCTAAATGAAGAACAGTCTGTTATCTTAAACATACACAATATTAAGCGAGACTCTTGTTTTACTTTAGACTGGAAAAATATGCCAGGGACAGTCAAAGTCAACACAAAGTAACAAACAGCAAAAGGTAGCAGAGAGAGAAACAGGTAAGTGCAGCTCTGGTCAAATCCATAGCAGTTCTTTACGTCAGTTAACGGCTCATTTACATCAGAGTTTCTAATCAGTTACATGCAAGCCCAAAGAAGCGTTTGATCACTACACATGGTAATAAAATTTGATTAAATTTATCAGGCAACTGCTAAAATATGAAAATTTGCAGATGTAATAAAGTAGCTTTATCTGAACTTGAACAGGACAGACAAAAGTAAAATCATTCCGTTGGTTAAAAAAACCCTACATTCAGTTTTTTTACCGAACAAAATTTCACATGAAAAGTATTTTGCGTGATTCCAAAGTTTCCGGAGTAGAAATGGAGTGATTTGAAATGCCAAAGACCCCATCGTTCTGCAAAGAAATGAAAAATACACCTCCAAAATTTTCTAATTCCACATGTGAACAACGAAATACTGCATTTATCTACCAACAACTGCATGGGTGGGTGGTTCGGAAAGGCGTAGCTGCCACGGTGTCGGAATGGCTCCTGCCTCTGTTCCCTTTAGGAATTTACAATCGTCAAACCAGTCACACTAAGCGCTATCATGCTGCCGTTACACTGAGCTCCTCAGTCCTGGAAATCATCTGACAGGTCCTGGTAAAGCTGCAGCCCCCCCCCAGCACACACAGAGTCCGGCGGGGCAGGAGCAGAGGGGGAACAGCCTCTACAACAACACGGGTTCTGCAGTTTGGACTTTTTTAAATTACCAAGGTTTTTAAGGCCACCTGTGTTGGGTTTTTGTTTTCAGTGCTGAAAGTTGAAGTTCTGATCACAGGGCCCCTTTCCCCACTGCGTGAGAACATGTTCCAACGTTTTAGGTG